TGAGGAGAAGGTCATCGTGCATAGACAAAACAAGGGTGCGAGGATTGTGCTACTGGACCGAAAAGACTACGTAGATAAACTAACAGTAATACTGAACGACGAGACCAAGTTTTCGTGTAGCACAAGGGAAATAGACCGGACGGAACAAACTAAAACACTGATCACTAAGAGCTTGCAAGAATTTCGGACTAAGGGGTGTATTTCAGATATCCTGTAAGACAACTTCAAACTTAGTAGCACAAACGTTCAAAGGCTTTACGGGTTATTAAAAATTCACCAACCTAACATTTCACTCCGTCCCATTTTGGCAATGGTCAATTCGAACTACCATATGGTTGCTCAGTGGCTTGTAACACTTCTGGAACCGGTGCGACAACAGCTCGCAACTTACAGCCTAAGTGACAGCACCCAGTTGGTAGAAAGCGTCAAGAATGCCTAAATTGACGCGGAAGTGATGCTCTCGTTTGATGTTGTCTCGCTATTTACAAACGTTTCACTGATTGAGACAATAGATTGCATTTGCGATTATGAAACCCGGTCAAAAATAAAAATGTGTATACCTACTCGTGAGCTAAAAAGTCTACTGTTGCGCTACACCTGGAATGTGCAATTCCTATTTAACGACATATGCTGCAGGCAGAAGGACGGTGTGGCCATCGGATCTCCTCTGGGTCTATTGCTGGCGGATATCCTCATATCAGTTGGAGAGAACAGGATTGCAGGCAGATACGGTCACTGTTAACCGCTAGTATCGGTACATGGACAACGCATTCGTTTTGATGGATGAGCACGTTAACCTAGAGGAAATTCTTAACTGTTTTAACCGAACCTGTTCAGCACTACATTTTTAATTATGAAAAAGAAACAGAAAATTGGTTGCTGTATCTTTATGTGCTATTAACTAAGAGACCAGACGGCTCAATCCAGCAGCAGATGTACAGAAAGCCAACGTGGATTGGCTAGTATACGAATTTCCACAGCTTCGTTCCTCTCAGAAATAAGCGCAACTTGATTCATTGTCTTACCACGAAAGCACATCGAATCTGCTCCGAAGGCACCCTAAATTTGGAATTGACGTTCATGCAGAATGTGTTGCGTAAAAATGGATACCCCAACAGATTTAAGAAACCTTGGGACAAAGCTTAAACAGGTGCCAGTGTTAACAGCGGCCAAGAAGTGCTATTCATAAGACTATCTTTCAAAGGAAACGCAGATACTGAGCGTTTAATCCGACGTCTTTAGGATGCAATTACGTTTACCTTCGCAACAACTACGCTAAAATGGGTGTCTTTGACAGAACCACTCGTCCGTTCACGAAACAAGTATAGGTTGCCCATACCGACCGCCTCAATTGTTATTTATCAGTTCGGGTGCGCCTGTGGCGCAACGTATATCGGTCGAACGGCGCAGCACTTAGCAGAACGCATGAATGCATTTCCCGCGTTGGCTGCATCAAAGTGGCATCGGGACCATTACTAGTTCCATTCGGGCTCGTATTATCGACAATGGGCATCGGGTGGATCTTAAGCGCGCCTTTAGAGCTGTACACAAGGTTCCACTGCACCGATCGGAAGGTCAACGCCTTCGTATACTTGTGACGGCCGAAGCAATCTGCATTTGATTATTTCAACCGTCCTTATGCTCGCAAAAGTAGCTAGTCCAGGCTGTACAGATTCCCTGACCCAGAAAAGGGGGGATTCTGAGGTCAACGACATGAGGTCAAACACCGTAACATGTACTTAACTCGTTTCGATTTTTCGTCTATGTTACTCGTACTAACTTGTCGATTTTATTCTTTCCATTATTAGCCCTATATATGAGTGTACGAGTCTGATGAAATAAATCATTGCAAGCAACTGCTCACCAAACGGTCTTCTTGTTATCATTAACTTACTTGGGGATTTTCAAGTTATTTTGGGATAGTTGTGAACGCTATCGGCGTTTACCTAATGACTTTACCATGGTTTATCAAAGTTTAAGCAACCCTACTCAAGCGTGCTATTATCTGCTAAAGATCAGTCATAACAACGGAGACTTCACTTGGACAGGTTATACGAAATCGAGAACCTGGATTGCTCTGTGAAAATGTGTGCAAGCTACCTGCCAGTCTTGACAGCACGGAGCTCCACCAGTTGATTCTTAAGTCCCTGTCGTCCCTCATCACACCATGCATGACTGATCTGTTCAACAGATCGCTGTCCGAAAGTATGTTGCCCAGCGATTGGAGGTGTTCGACAATGACACCAATTCCGTGGGGCTGTGACATAAGCAAACTGGACAATTACTAGCAGGTTTGTCTGATCTGCGTTTTCGCCAAACTACTCGAGAAGATCGTGAAAAGTGGTTTACTGAAATTGCAGAAGTCGAAAAACCTTCCGATGACCGCATAGCACGGCTTCATAAAGGGTCGCTGTTGTATCACCAACCTACAGTTGACGTGCCATGTGTGGTTGCACTCGTTAAACCGGGTGAAGTCGGTGGACGTGATCTATATTGATTTCAACAAAGAGTTCGACAAAATGAACCATGAGGTCCTCCTAAACAAGCTGAGGATGTGTGGTGTTGGTGGCTCACTGCACAAGTGGATCAGTGACTTCCTTATCGGACGGAAATGGAGGGTTGGAAGACCATCCAACGGACTAGTCTCCTTCCAACAGTGATGTATCACAAGTTACTATGGGGCCCATTTTGTTCCTGATCCACATAAACGAAGTACCTCAGCTTCTACGGTCGCGCTGTGCATTGTTTATAGACGATCTGAAGATTATGTGGGTTATTGATTGGACGATTGTGACGTCCTTCACCATAATTTCGACTTCCTATCCAGTTGGTCTACAGATATCAATCTTCCGGTCAACCCAGTCAAATCGTTATACGTGAATCTGGGAAAGCTTGTCGATGGGCGTATGTACACGCTGGCCGACCAGCGGCTACATCACACACCTTCAGGGAACTAGCTAGGAATACTCCAACGCTACGGTTTGAAGTCCGTAGACAACACAAACAAGCTCTAAGGAAACGGATTGCGCATGCTTTGGGCTCTTAAACACAGCTTCTGCATTTGGTCTGAGAGGGTTACCACTTGCCTTTCATCTTTCATTATAAGACCAATGTTCTAGTACGGATCACCCGCCTGTTGTCCGAGCACCCGTGTCGATGATCAAAGACTGGAACGTCTTCAACATGTGGCTACCAGGTTCATCTCTAGTTTACGGGGCATGCCGCACAAAGACCGATGCAGATCACTAAAGCTGTCCACCCTGTCGTATGGTTGCTTTAGAGTTGTTCTCATTATGACGCATCGGATATTGCATCTTGGTCACTGGCCAATGCTGAGGCCACTGCTTAACGAGCGCGCACCAAGCCTTACTCGCGGCATCGCTACAAGCTAGCGGTACCGGACTTAGAGCGGATAGCTCACCCACAATGTTCTGAGTGTCGAGTGGTGAAATATTGGAACAGATTGCCTTCGAAACCTATTGAGGCGAAATCGGTGTCGGAATTCAAGCAATTGCTGGACACCCGCATCGCATCTGAATCGAGTAAAGCGTAACTTTACTAGCAGCAAATGCTCAGACTTCAGGTCTGTGAATCCGCGCAGGTGCTCAAACTGATTTCGATGGAGCAACACTTGTCTACTAACTAGTTTCAGTATTCAGTATTCAGAGATCACAGTCTCAAAATGACGAAACATTACAACCGGCGGGATTGTACACAGAATTTTTTCTCGTTACGTGTTTGTTTAATATGGAATTCACTTCCACAACCTATTATTTCAGCCTGCACAAAAGCTATGTTCAACGAGCTTGTTGGCAGTGTCAATCTGAACTCCCACACACTAGTGAAATATCTAGGAGTTACACTAAGTCGGGATCTCACGTGGTCCCATAACGTGGAGGAAGCACTCATCAAAGTCAGGCTGCTAATGTTCTACGTCTCTTGACTTAGGTCTTCATCTGCGCCTCGTTACCTGATTTTCCAGTTTGACACCGCTTGCGAAATACCGCTCTAGACGTATTGCTCACCTAGACTTTAACGGCAATTCAAAGTGATTAACAGGCTACTGAAACAGCTTCTCCGAGATAGCAGAGCCTCCATCTAAGTATTTACTGAACACATTGTGTCTACTCAGGCTTGCTTCTGCAAAAATACGGAGGCAGAAATAAGCACTGATGCCAGTCACCCACTCCATTGTGCATTATCGGAATGTATCTCAACTTCTTCGACTAGACAAACTTACAGAGCCATTTATATCTACACACGGGCTTACAGTACGTCAGTTGTTCGCCGTTCGTCAGGTTTGCTGAGGGATCAAGAGATAGTCAAGCAAGACCTTATTGCCAGACTTAAGCGATGATATCACCATTGGCAGGGCCTTTAAATCGTCCGCTGCATTTTTCGCTGAACATAATATTATCTGCTCTATATATCCCAGTTTTGCAAGATTAAGCTGACATATACCTATTCAATCAAATTCTAAGGCCACGGAAACCCTCTACGCTTTCGAACTTAGGAATACAAGCACTGAGGTATCGCGCACGGTTCATGAGCAAAAACAATCCAAAAAAAAAACATTAAAGAGCTAAAAGAAGAAATAAGAAAGAAAACTTATAACCAAAAAAAAATCAAACAACACAAAAAAACCACACCAAAAACGCGAGGAAAAAGAACAAAACGCGACCCCAAAATGACATACAAAAAAAGAACAACAACACTCCCCACCCTAAACCGAGAAAAAACCCAAAAACAAGATCAACAAAAAAGTAAAATCAGACGACAACAAAAAAGAAACCAAAACTCAAAACAACATACGAAAAAAAAAATTGACAACAGAATCCCAAAACCCGAAACAAAACCCGTAACACCAACAAAGATCCCAAAAACCAAGACCAACCCACAAAAAAAAGAAAAAAGAAAATGAACCAAGTATCCAAACGAATGGAAACAACCACTAACCAACCCCCGGGCCCACACACACCGACCCACGCACAAAACCCCACCCACCCCACCCCCCCCCATCCCCCCCCCCCCCCCCCCCCCCCCCCCCCCCCCACCCCCCCCCCCCCCCCCCCCCCCCCCCCCCCACCCCCCCCCCCCCCCCACCCCCCCCCCCCCCCCCCCCCCCCCCCCCACCCCCCCCACCCCCCCCCCCACCCCCCCCCCCCCCTCCCACCCCCCCCCCCCCCCCCCCCCCCCCCCCCCCCCCCCCCCCCCCCCCCCCCTCCCCCCCCCCCCCCCCCCCCCCCCCCCCCCTCCCCCCCCCCCCCCCCCCCCCCCCCGCCCCCCCCCCCCCCCCCCCCCCCCCCCCCCCCCCCCCCCCCCCCCCCCCCCCCACCCCCCCCCCCCCCACCCCCCCCCCCCCCCCCCCCCCCCCCCCCCCCCCCACCCCCACCCCCCCCCCCCCCCCCCCCCACCCCCCCCCCCCCCCCCCCGCCCCCCCCCCCCCCCCCCCCCCCCCCCCCCTCCCCCCCCCCCCCCCCCCCCCCCCCCCCCCCCCCACCCCCCCCCCCCCCCCCCCCCCCCCCCCCCCCCCCCCCCCCCCCCCCCCCCACCCCCCCCCCCCCCCCCCCCCCCCCCCCCCCCCCCCACCCCCCCCCCCCCCCCCCCCCCCCCCCCCCCCCCCCCCCCCACCCCCCCCCCCCCCCCCCCCCCCCCCCCCCCCCCCCCCCCCCCCCCCCCCCCCCCCCCCCCCCCCCCCCCCCCCCCCCCCCCCCCCCCCCCCCCCCCCCCCCCCCCCCCCCCCCCACCCCCCCCCCCCCCCCCCCCCCCCCCCCCCCCCCCCCCCCCCCCCCCCCCCCCCCCCCCCCCCCCCCCCCCCCCCCCCCCCCCCCCCCCCCCCCCCCCCCCCCCCCCCCCCCCCCCCCCCCCCCCCCCCCCCCCCCCCCCCCCCCCCCCCCCCCCCCCCCCCCCCCCCCCCCCCCCCCCCCCCACCCCCCCCCCCCCCCCCCCCCCCCCCCCCCCCCCCCCCCCCCCCCCCCCCCCCCCCCCCCCCCCCCCCCCCCCCCCCCCCCCCCCCCCCCCCCCCCCCCCCCCCCCCCCCCCCCCCCCCCCCCCCCCCCCCCCCCCCCCCCCCCCCCCCCCCCCCCCCCCCCCCCCCCCCCACCCCCCCCCCCCCCCCCCCCCCCCCCCCCCCCCCCCCCCCCCCCCCCCCCCCCCCCCCCCCCCCCCCCCCCCCCCCCCCCCCCCACCCCCCCCCCCCCCCCCCCCCCCCCCCCCCCACCCCCCCCGCCCCCCCCCCCCCCCCCCCCCCCCCCCCCCCCCCACCCCCCCCCCCCCCCCCCCCCCCCCCCCCCCCCCCCCACCCCCCCCCCCCCCCCCCCCCCCCCCCCCCCCCCCCCCCCCCCCCCCCCTCCCCCCCCCCCCCCCCCCCCCCCCCCCCCCCCCCCCCCCCCCCCCCCCCCCCCCCCCCCCCCCCCCCCCCCCCCCCCCGCCCCCCCCCCCCCCCCCCCCCCCCCCCCCCCCCCCCCCCCCCCCCCCCCACCCCCCCCCCCCCCGCATCCGTGAGCTTGTCTTCTATTTCACAGACACTGATATAACTGCTAATGTAATTAAATTGCTGAACGACTTCTAGGGTGCCAAAACCAAATTTCAGTGCTGGAGGCGGCCCCTGTCAGTCTTGAAGGAAGGCTGTGCACTTTGAAGGTATAAAGCAAAGATCGTACCGGTTGACAGCCAGTGCTAATCTGCCTGGTTTTGTTTAGGACGTTGGTGAGCTGCTACTGATGCGGCAATACCGTCAACATACTACAAATCAAGAAGCCGTTACCTGGGAGCAGCTCCACATCTTCTAAGTCATGTCCAATGAATGCGATTCCCATGACTTCGTCAATAGTGAAACTGAAGAGTGTCCAGGAGAACATAAGAATCTCACGAAACGGCCATGATTTCAGTGACCAACCGATTGTTACAGATCATCGCATCGAGTTGGAACTTACTGGAATGTGTTAGTGCTTGCAAGTGAATACCAACTTCCTGGAGATTGGTCAGATCGGCCTGGAACAATTTGGACAGTCGACATTCCTATTCCAGACATCGTAGATCTGCTAGAGACTATAAATACAGCTAAGGTCTGCTTCAGTTATACAGTGTATGTTCCGGTCATTTGCCTTCTGATTTTTCCTTCGGTTGGGCAAGTGGTCTTGTGGATCAGTATAGTGCGTGTTTCAGAATTGCGACATGTTAGACTATAACAAATGACGATGGAGAAAACTGCATGTGGTGAATTTTTCTGCTGAGCAGTTTCAAAAGCTGTTTCTCCAACAGCAAATGGTTTCTCGAATGAAACTGATTGAAACTTTGACGCAATGCCTAATTCTCTAGTCCACAGCAGTGGCGCAGGACACGCAGGCATATTCCGTTGATCTTCTCACAATTACTATCAGTGAATTACATTATGACTAGGATGCTGGACGCACATCCGATGCGTGGTTCAATCGCTGGGAAGAGATATTCCAGACGGATTGCAGTCGTCTGGATGATCTATGGAAAGTGCGATTACTACTCCGCAATCTCGACACAACTAAGCATTCAAGGTTCATAAACCACATTCTGCCCAAACAGCCGAAGGATCTAACGTTCGATGAAGCAGTGTTGCAGCTAAATGAAATTTTCGGTGAGTCAGTATCTTCCTTTAGTATTCGTTGTTAATATCTGAACTGTGTTAAACAGGAAACGGACGATTTTGGGGCCTTTACAAGCATGGTTAACCGCGAGTGTGAGCGCCTCAAGCTACGATCTCTATCGGATGATCAGTTTAAGTAATGCATGCTCGTCAGCGCTCTACTGTCCTTCATAATTTTGTGATCTGCACGCGGCTTTTCACTAAGCTGGATTCAAGATTCGAAAGCGAATGCAAAAGGCTGCTCTGCCGGAAGCACAGCACTGCCATGCTCGAGCAAAATCGACTCGTACCACCGGATACCGTGCACACATCGTGAAAAAGGCCAAGACAGTCAGCTCAAGCAAACACTTCAAGCGGGCTCCCAACAAACCAACTACAATATATTGGTAAGGTGGGGAATGGAATTCAGCACGTTTGTACCCATTCAAACGTCACACATGTAAACAGTGCTATAAGGAGGAATTTCTATATTCAGGCTAGATGAAAGCGCATGAAGAAGCCCTATGGAAAGAAGAACTTTACTAAGGAAACCGCAGAATCTCCATCCATGGTTGCGGCATTCCGATGTGAAACTCAACCGCGACGACGATTTATTATCGTACTGATCAATGGAATCTCAATGAAGCTGCAGTTCGACATGGTCTCAAATATTACGATTATTTCTTGGAACATATAGAACACATAAGGAAGCTAAAGATGGTCAAATGTCACGAACTTACTCACAATGCACGCGGTGTTGTACTGAAATTATTCGGCGAACTTAACAGCAAGATGGCATTCAAAGAGGAGGACGAGTAAGGAGCGTGTTAAGTTGCAAACCGGCTACTTTTGAAGCTTCTCCTTGTTAACTAGATTGAAACATTACAACTCCTTAATGTTCGTTTGAATCAGATCCACATTCGAGTCCTAGTAAATCCGGACCCATTATCGAAATCCGTTTAGGACATGCCACGTTTGCTGAAGCGAAGATTTATCTCTATCTTTCAGGACAGTTTAGGCCATTGCAAAAATATGCAAGACAATGCTGCGCCTGGGATCAGGTGCCAAGCCAGTCTTTAACGCTAAAATCCGAGTACCGTAGGCAACCATTTCAAACGTTGATCAAGAACTCGACTGACTAGAACGATCCGAAGTCATCACACCTGTTAACTTCGCTTCATAGGCAGCACCCACTGTCGCAGGGAGGAAAGCAAACGGCAAGGTACACGTCTGAGTTGATTTCTCAACCGGACTAAATGTTGCGCTGGACGACCACCAGTACCCATTACCCGTACCAGAAGAGATATTTGTAAACCTAATTGGTGGTGGTGTTAATCTGTCTGACACCTACCTCCAAGTGGATGTTGCCTAAGACTTGAGAGTTGTTGACTATCATCGCTCATAGTGGCCTATTCCAGTACAACCGCTTACCTTGTAGTGCAATACGGCGTCAGCAATTTTCCGACAGCTGTTGGATACCATGCTGGCTGTACTTTCTGTATCTGCTGCGTACTTGGATGACATCATAATGTTAGGGTGAACACCGGAAGAAATATTTAGCCGGTTGGATAGAATGTATCTAGTCATGTGTCTAGTCAAACGGTTTTCGGATCTGTGAAGACAAGTACGCACTTTTCACGCCGAGCATCAAATATCCCGGTTTCATCCTAGAAAAGGATGAACATCGACTAGATCTAGCAAACGTAGAAGCCATAAGGAAAATGACTCAACCAATAGACCTACAGTACTTGCGTTCGTTTTGTGTTTTCATTAGTCAGTACAGCGCATTCTTGCCTTAGATGCACCATCTGTGTGTCCAGCCAAAAATGCTGCTAACCGAAGACCAAACTTGGAACTGGACGTAAAAATGTCAGAATGTCTTCGAACATGTCGTCATTGCTTGCCTGTAACTTGCTTTCGACTAATTCTGATCACTTTAAATATAGCGAACAGCCGGCCCCAGTGTTGTTTTTGTTGTGAGTTTCATTGTCCACCCCCCACTCCTTTAGATTCTTCTTCAAACCCGATCCCATACAAAGCGCATAACATAATATTTAACAACATATTACTTGCTTGGAAGCATTTTTGGTGTAATTTTTTGTCTCCTCTTTTTGTATTGCAGCACATTAGCTGAGGTGTGTTTCGCCTCCTAAGCTTGCGTGTATTGATGATGATGATCACTCCAGACAGATTGTCATCGCCACAGATGCATCAAGCCATTGGTTCGGTGCAGCAAGCTTGCACAGGCACCCAGATGGGTCACAGAAAGCAATAGTTCATGCTTACGTAGGATGAGAAGAATTAGAGCCAGTTCGCAACAGAAGTCTTGGTAATAATGTTCACTGTGAAAAATATTACAAAATGCTGTACGGCCGCCGCTCCAAATTTTTGACAGACCAATTCCCTTACTGGCTATCTTTTGTCCGAAAATGCGTATCCCGGCCTACACGGCTAACCTGCTACGAAGACCGGCTCTCACCTTAATGGGAGTGCTATTTCAGGATCCATTACCAGTCAACAATCTTTTTGCGCCAAGCGCATACACTGTCGCGTCCCACTGATTTCCATCAGCACGATAGCTAGCTGGTTGTGACGGTATGTTTTGGACAGATTGTGGACGCCTTGACCCAGAATGTCTGTTTAGGGTATAAAGATTTTCTTTTAAGTCCCTGTTCACTCTCCCTCTTAGTATTCTTCGTTCTGTAGATCGTTATGCTTGTATAGCAGCGAAGCATCAGTTTAAATGGCTAAGGTACTACTGTTGATGATGGTGAGGATTCCCATCAGCAAGAAATGATGACGTATTCATCGCCTTGCTCGAGATCGAACCTGACGTCAACTTCCTGGTGAGGAAAGCAATACACCATTACCAGCTACCACAGAAGCAGTACAAACAGAAGTGCTTCATTATGGTTAGGTATGCAAATTTCCTCGCTATTCCGAATTAAACACCCAAAATTCTCCTCCAGACCTCTAACCCAGCCGAAGCAAAATCAGGAGTCAAACGACTTACCAAGCAAAACATGTTAAAAGCCGCCAATATGCAGTACAAATGTCCTAAGCTTTCGCCAAATGTATAGGTCACTTATTGGCCTTCGGATTTTAAAACACAAAGGTCAACCAGTAAAATTAGTGGCTTTCTTGCCAAATCTCCGTATGATGGCGGTCACATGAAGGAATGGAAGGTTCCAGAGTCTTCGAAATTAATGCACGTCGATGTTAATCGATTAACTGCTAAAATAACGGGTTCTGCTTGAGGTTTTTATCTTATCCCGGATAAGTGCCCAGTGCTCAAGGTCATACTGTTCCACACAAACATCTGGCCGCGTTAATGTTTATCCGTCGAGTTGCAGCAGTACTACCAGATTGGTGGTGGTCGCACAGTAGCGAAACGCCGTTACTGCGTACAGCTGACACATTATTATTATTATTATTTGTGGGATCGTTTCGCAGCGCGCTTCTACTTACTGATGCCTAGGCGACCTAGTACATGAGGATCTGGGTTGTTTGCATCAGACCGAGAAAGCGTCCATGTAGGCCAACTAACACTTTGGCCTTTTGCGGAAGTTATTCAGGCGTTTTCAGCTTTCCATCTTCTCGTAAATGAGAAATGTCTACATTAAGCCCCATTCGGAGTATGCCATCCACGAGTGCCACAAGCACAATCTCGCGGCACCCGAAATACTAAAACGAAGGGCGACCAGGAACTTCAAGGGTCTGTTACATCTTCAGTACCGACTGTGACTTAAAACTTTCGACTTCTACAGTGGACAATATGGTCACTTGCGTGGCATTTTGATGATAGCATATTTGATCCTGAGGAATCAAAACCATGTTTTTCGTCATCTTCTGAAGTGGAATTACAATACCATTGGGAGAAGTCACCAGATAAAGGTGG